GGCCCCCGGCCGTTACCGTTAGCTGAGCCGCCGCCTCCCTCTCAATTTCAAATCCGCCCGCCAACTGCGTCACGTCACAACGGAGCGGCGAAGACGCAGGGTAAGGCGTGAAAGGTCGCGGAGTGTGTCGTCACTTCCGCTTGACTGGCCGCTCTACCCACTAACCGCCTGAGTCCTCCGGAAGTTCTTAGGAGAACGGGTCGTATCCGTACAGCAAGATGGCGGCGCTCACGGCAGAGCGGAGCGGGGGTGGCCAGTGTGTGAGGCGCTGCGGTGCTATGACGAGCACCGAGGTTTTTCTCTACTGGCACCGAGGGACAGGGGACGAGGGCAGCCTGCTCCCTGTCCGTTCGGTTTGGAACCGCTGTGCTTAGCCTTCAGCAGCTCCTTTCCTCCAGCTCTGCGGGGTGAGGAGAGGGCTGCGCTGTCGGCGGTAGGACGTGGTGGAGGGGAGGTGTGTGGGGAAACCCGCGAGCCCGACGAGCTGTGCTGCTGGCTTCGTGTGCCTTGGGATGAGCCTTTAGCATGGATACGTCCGTGCTGCTGCCGCGGTGTGTTGCTGCTGTCCTGAGGTTTGGTTGTATCAGACTGTGGGAGAGGGATGAGGTTATGCACCTGTCCTATCAACTCTGTTTTCACTAAATCCAGTGCAGTAGTCTTTGCAGAAACGAAGCTTTCCTGAATAGAAAACTGATTCTATGATTCTATCCCAGCAAAACCAGGGCTTACATTTAATGGACATTAAATATTAAGCTGTTATTCTTATTAGCTAATTAAATAATTAGCATCAGACTCGACGAAGGAACAAACATGTTCTCTGGAGAAAACTAAATTGGAGAGTCCTGGTTTTTTCATTGATGTGTCCTGTATTTTCTATCCTCTGACTATATTAAACCCAGCTTCTCCCATGAAAAGCCTTTCAGTTTTCTTCCTTTTGTCCATTAGTTTCCATTTCACAAGCTGGATGTAGCTCTCTCTCTCTCTTCATTTCCAGCAGTGTGAAACAGTTTTCCAGGGCTGGTCTGGAGCTCTGTGTCCTCACGGACCTGCTGAAGGATCAGACAGGACACGAATCTTGCCTTCAGGGCTGCAGCCTCTCACTCAGGTGAGTGCCTTTATTACATAGCTTCTCTTAGGAAAGAAATGTTCATCTTGGAGACTTTTCCAAAAGTCTGCAAGAGGAATCTGGCACAGATCGCATAGATGTCCTTTCCTTAGGTCATCAGCCTAAAAATATCTGAAGTATGTGATTATCTGGATTAAAACAAAAACGTTAGCCTTTTAACGTCTTAATTTGGAAAGAACAGAAGACAGTTGTGGTTTTGCTGCATAGTTGGCTCTTTAAATGTTGTCTGTATGTGTGCCTTAATCAGTTTTAACTAGTAGATTAATTTTAAAATTAATTTACTCCCTTGTTTTTTTCCTTCAGTAGCTTCACTTCCCAGACAAGACAAAGTATGATGTAATTGTGATTGATTCACCATGGGAGAATACGTCTGTTGAAAGGAGTTACAGGTAAAATTTATTGTAAAATCAAACAAACTTTATCCTCTTGGCTTACAAAGGGTAATTAACATTTTAATATACTGATGCCATCCAAGACCAATATAACTGTGAAACTGTAGCTTAAACTAGCAAATATTTTGGCACGTGCCTACCTTCAAGTCTATGAAATGTCTTGGAGTTTTCACTGAAGTGCCTTGGATATTTTGTATACAAAATGTTTGCAAGAGTAGATCTTAAATTACCGAAATGGTGAGAGAATTTTAGTCCTTGAGACTTATATTGAGGGGCAATGGGAGCAAGCTGGAGCATAGGAGGCTCAATCTGAACATGAGGAAAATCTTTTTTACTGTAAGGGTTACAGTGCATGGCCCAGGCTGCCCAGAGAGGTCGTGGAGTCTCCTTCTCTGGAGACATTCAAAACTCGCCTGCACACGTTCCTGTGTGACTGCTCTGGTGATCCTGCTCTGGCAGGGGTTGGACTGGATGATCTTTCCAGGTCCCTTCCAACTCCTCATATTCCGTGATTCTGTGGTGACTGAGCAACATTTCACAGAATCACTACCTGTCTACCCCCTAAACCATATCCTTAA